TTTTTTTTTTATGCTCAGAAAATCAGTTACAATCATCAACGAAAGTTCTTTCTTATCCGGGATTTGTTTCACGGCACAATGTACGACGACAGGTGAGCAAAATTATGACTAAAAAAAGTAAAGAAAAAAAATTTTTTTTTTCTTGTTTTAAAAACTTCAGTTTCAATTGTTTAATGCTAAATAAAGCAGTTTGAAAAACGGCAATTTGGTATGCACAATTTTTTATGTTGACAAATTTTAGACGTTCAGTGATATAGTTGATTTTGATCCTGTTTTAAGCAACAAAAATTCTGTGGACCTCGGTAAACCAGTTATCTCAGATTCGATAACGTACAGTTTCCTCATTGTTTTTTGTTTTTTTCTTCTTTTTTGCTATAATCATACTGCCAGTTTTTGTTTTCTGTTTGACCAAATAGCTTAAATAATAGAACGAAAAAAAAAAAAATACTCTGTTCGACACGCTTGTTGATCAGTTTTATCCACAAAAATTTCACCTAAGCCCCGCAGAATTTTAATAAAACCAAATTTCAATACTTTTAATAAATGTAGTAAGCAAATAATAGTTATGCTTGTTCTCCAATTTTTTTTTTCTTTTACAGAGACTTGAGGAAGATGAATAACATTGTAAAAGTAATGCATGATTTTGGAAAGAGTGATGAGGGCTTAAGCGAGAAAGGTAATGTATAAATTAGTGCTTGTGAATAGCAAAAGTAATTTTAAACTTGGTTTTCAATAAACTTTCTCTGTTCAAAAAAAAATCTTAGATGTTTTGTTCTTAGCAGATACAAATTTCTTTCAGCTCAGTATTGAAACTTTTCATTCCATATTCAATTTCTTATTCTTTTTTTAATGAATACTTAAAAAACAACAGTTTTGTTCAGAGCTAAGCGATAAAGAGCTTCAAGATTATCATATGGATGCTCAAACACAGTTTGTTCATCGAACCGAAGGTATGGAAGAACTTTCAATGGGAAATGTCGATTTTGACAGGTAATCATGAAGCATAGTTAAGTGACTGCAAAAGACAAAAAAAAAAAAGTAGTGTAAAAGTTGACTGTATTTGCAAAAATAGCTTCTTTTTTTTTTCAGTTTTTTTACAAAGAACAAACTTTTGACAAAGATTATCGGTAAATTAAGCGAAAAAAAAAAGAAAAAACTAATGATTTCTCGAGAATAAAAAAACAATAACTGAAAAAAAAATAGTAGAAAAACAAAAAAATTAATGTTTTCTGCGTTTTGCATTTGTAAAACTTTTTACATAAAATACCGTTTACTGTGTCCAAAACAATACAAAAAAATTAGACAAAAAAATCAAAACTAAAAAAAAGTGTGTTTTTTTTCCTGTTACGGTCGGTTAGCATCGTTTGATCTAATCAACCGAATAACAGTCTAAACATATAGACTTTTAGTTAGTCTAAGTATAAATCTGAAAAATTTTTTCTTTATACTCAACTTCACTCTTTACTGTTTGCTTTGTTTTTGCAAAAAAAAAGTTAAACCAATTTTAGAAAAAGCAATTATAGTTGCCAAATTAATTAGTAGTAGTCAAGTTTTAATTCCTCTAAAAAGCAGCAGTCCAATATATAGGGTGGTTAAAATTGTGGTTGAAAAAAAAAAAACAAAAAAAAGTTGAAGTGTAATTAGCGGTAAAAAAAAAAGCTTCAAAAGTTTTGTAACAGATGTTTTAATGTTCAATAAAAAAAAGCAGTAATATTTGCAAGAAAAATCAAAAAATGTTTGTTACAGTTTACAGTTTTGTTCTTTTTCCTGTTTTTTTAAGTGATTTTATACTCTAAAAAAAAGAAAAAGTAAGTATGGAAAAAATAAATATTCAGCTACTGACAGATACGGCTAACAGTCTGTTTTTTGCTAGAAAAAAGAAAAAACTGTGGTTTACTGTACAGCAACTAAAGTAATATCAATTTGATTCAGTTACAAAGAAAAGAATAGAGGTACATTTTACTGACTTCAAATTCTAAGCTTTTTTTTTTTGAATAAAACTATTCACAAGTAATTAATTATTCAATCACCTGTGACAGTAATATGTGTAATAGCAAAAGAAAAAAAAAAAAAGGAGAAAATTAGAAAAAAAAAATTTAGTTTAAAACGTAAAAAAAAAAAACTTTCAAAAAGAAAGTTGAAAGTTGAAAGTGATCAGAAAAAAACAAAGCTAAAGCTTCGTTTTTTTTTGCTGCTGCTGCCAATGTTTTCT